GAGGGCAGTGTCACTGGCCCTCATATGTGGGATCCGAACCAGGGCCCTCTGGCGTCCCAAGCCAGTTCTTAACCATCGCGCCACTCGGCTGGCCCCCCTAGGCCCCCCTAGAGCTGTTTTTTAAAACAGCTCAATTAGAGTGAGTCAAAACTAGAAATTTGAGCAAGTGATTCAAATTAGAAATTTGAACAAGAGAAAAGGATAATTGATTACAACTTAACAAAAAACCAAACTCAAGTAAAAAATGGGCAAAAAACTTGAATAGACATTTCTTCAAAGAAAATATACAAATGGCCAATACGCACATGAAAAGATGCTCAACATCCTTAGCCAATAGGGAAATGCAAATCAAAACTACGATGAAATACCTACCACTTCATATACTAGAGTAGCTATTAAAACAGAAAATACCAGTAAGTGTTGGTGAGGATGTGGAGAATTGGATTCCTTGTATGTTGGTTGTGGGAATGTAAAATGATGTAGCTGCTGTGGGAAATGGTTTGGTGGCTCCTCAAAAAAAGAATTATCATATGACTCAGCAGTTCAACTCCTAGGTTTGTACACACACACACACACACACACACACACACACACACACTCACACACACACGTACGAATTGAAAACAAAGACTCAGGCTTTTTCTCCAACATCTTAGCGAGGCTGCAGCTATAGCTGCTGCTGTCTGTGTTTCGCCATGCCGCCCAAAGACGACAAGAAAAAGAAAGATGCTGGAAAGTCAGCCAAGAAAGACAAAAACCCAGTGAACAAAGCTGGAGGCAAGGCCAAAAAGAAGAAGTGGTCCAAAGGCAAAGTTCAGGACAAGCTCAATAACCTAGTCTTGTTTGACAAAGTGACATATGACAAACTCTGTAAGGAAGTTCCCAACTATAAGCTTATAACCCCAGCTGTTGTCTCTGAGAGACTGAAGATCCGCGGTTCTTTGGCCAGGGCAGCCCTTCAGGAGCTCCTTAGTAAAGGACTTATTAAATTAGTTTCAAAGCACAGAGCTCAAGTAATTTACACCAGAAACACCAAGGGTGGGGATGCCCCAGCTGCTGGTGAAGATGCATGAACAGCAGGTCCCACCAATTGTACATTTGGAAAAATAAAACTTTATTAAAAAAAAAAAGATAAAGACTCAAACAGGTATTTGTACACCAGTGTTCACTGCAGCATTATTCACCATAGCAAACAGGTGGAAATCATCCAAGTGCTCATCAATAGAAGAATGGATAAACAACATATGGTATATACATACAATGAAATATTATTCAGCCTTAAAAAGGAATAAAGTTCTGATATGCTACGCTGGGGATGAACCTTGAAAATATGCTAAGTGAAGCTAGACACAAAAGGACAAATACTGTATGATTTCACATATACGAAATATCTTGAAAAGGCAAATTCATAGAGACAGAGGTTACACATTACTAGGGACTTGAAAGGAGGTGAAATGGGAAGCTGTTGCTTAATGGTTAGAGTTTCTGCTTGGGGTGATACAAAGTTTGGATATAGATATTTGTGAGAGCTTCACAACAGTTAGAATGTACTTAACGCCACTGAATTGTAGACTTAGAAATGGTTAAGATGGCATAGTTTATGTTGTACAGGCACACCTCATAGATATTGTGGGTTTGGTTCCAGACCACAATAATGAAGTGAGTATTGTAATAAAGCAAGTTGTAATCTTTTTCCTGGTGGAGGGTCTTAACTTCAATTTGTAAAAAAAATGCTACACTTGTGAAGCACAATAAAATGAGGTATGCCTGTATATATTTTACAATAAAAAAGAAAAAGGATGGCAGCCAGATAGCACCCATAGGCTAGAGCAGCGGTCGGCAAACTGCGGCTTGCAAGCCACATGCGGCTCTTTGGGTACATTCTGTCTTAAAAGTTTGCCGACCCCTGCGCTAGAGTTTTACTGATTCTTACTATAGAAAATTGTGGCCTGAGTGCCAACTTAACCCTGCTTTCTTCGCCCACCTGAGAAGTCCTGGGACCATTTATGTTGACACCCTAATAGCAACAAAACCCTGCTTGTTATCCTTGCTCACTTTCTAAAAATATGTATTTGATTATTCCATTTTCCCAATGTGTACTTACAGAGCAAATGATTAGTGCCTTTCGAGAAGCACTGGGGGGTTCATTAATACATACTTACCATGGTATTATATGGTCCTTCGTCCTGAGAACCTAGTTTCTCTTTCAATCAAATAGTCCTAGATTTGCAAACTAGCTCAGGTCTGGAAATATTTTGTTTTGTTTTGTTTTACTGGAATAGCTGCCTTCAGCCTCCTGAACTTCCATCCTTGATTTCTCTTGGTTGTACAGATCAAGCAATACCCTTGTAGGCCCACCAGTCTTGCCTCCAATGACACCCTGTTGCATTAACTATTTCCATATCTTTCTATAGGTCAGGACCCCCCAGGCAGCCAGTCTGACCTTGTACTAATTATAATAGTGCCCGTCTTGCTTCTGAAAATTAAGCATCACTACTTGGACTCTACTTTGGGATCCCATCACCCCCACTGCTATCATGGAACTCAGCTCTGTAACTTTATCTGCTATCACCTGAGGCCTGCAAAGGACAGCCACCATGAGGACCGATGCTGTGCTGAGCCATATTGGAAGCACTATGGAAAACTGAGTAATACTGATCTTCTGTCTTTATTTAAAAATTTGATATCTTGTTCATCATGGATTTTTCTGCATTAACTTTGATTTTTTATAATACATTAAAATATTATTTATCTTGGTTGCTGAGGATTTTGGCACCCTCTTAAATTTTGCACCTGAGGCAAGTAAGTACCTCACTCACCTCCTCCTAGCCTTGGTCCTGTTCAGTGGTGCTGGTGCCCCTCTCACATTCCTCATTGCATTAGGGAACAGTGTTCTCTGAGCCATCCCATGGAGCACAGTCATCTGGTAAATTTTCTGGCCTCAGCATTGAATATCTACGCTGGCATTGAATATACCCACTTCTCTGAGCTCTGGTAAGTACACACTGGGAAAATGGAATAATCAAATATATATTTTTTAAATTAAAGTTTATTGGGGTGACAATTGTTAGTAAGAATAAACAAATATTTTGAGGGCTGTGGACACAATGTCCAAATTAACATTGATACCCAAAGTGTCACAATGGCTCCTGTTAGGGGGAGCATAGGGTCATAAATGGAGTGTCGGTCCAGGTCTGGCTCACAGTGCCACATGTCATTTCCCAAGTTCTCAAATGGATAATTGGAATGAACTTACTTAGAAGTTGGCCAAACTCCTATGCTGGTTCCTTGGCCTGTGGAATAAGAAGATAGTGGAGAAGGCTAATGAATAGCTTCCCCAACACCCTGCCAAGATATTACCAAATCCTAGGAAATATTGCATAGATTAGTGCCTTAAAGACCTAAAGAATGCAAAGAAGGTGGTGCCCCATCATATCTACCCTGAAGACTGCCCCTTACAAAGGCTATACAAATCCTGGAGGATGACAGTGAACTATTACAAATTCAATCAAGTGGTATCCCCAATTGCAGTTGCTGTGCCAGATGTGGTATCTAGAGCAGATAACATGACCTAAAGTACACGGTAAGCAGGTATTGATCTGATGAAAGAGTTGTTTTCCATCTCTAACAATAAGGAGGGTTTAAAACTGTGTGCATTCTCTTGGGCTGGACAACAGTACATTTTAAGTTTTACTCCTGGGTTTGTTAACTCTTCCATAATATAGACTATCAATTCAACTCTATCATAATATAGTCTTATGGGACCTGGACATCTGCACATACAGCAAAACATCACACTAGTCCCCTGTAATCATGGCATTGTATTAGTCACATTAATGACCAGATGACCAGGAAGTGGGAAATATATGGGAGGCCTTGGAAAGACACTTATGCTCCAGAGGGTAGGAGATAAACCCAATGAAAATTAAGCCTACTCCATTAATGATATTTTTAGGGCAGGATTTCTCAATGGTGGTACTATTGACATTCTGGGCCAGAAAATTGTTGTGGGGAGCTTTTGTGTGCAACACAAGATTTTGAGAAGTATTCCTGGCCAATAGTCTCTCTCTAAATTGTTTTAGGTGTCATAATCCAGGGAGAAAGACACACAGAAACAATTATAATGCAAAGTGGAGTAGTTCGAGACACATGTTTGTGGTATTTTAGAAGCACCCTACGAATATCAAAGCATGCTATCTATATCTCACTCCTAGGGTGGGGTGACACAGGGTCAGTCTTATAGGATGAGAAGGAGTTAGCCAGATGAGTTGAGGAGATGGGGCTGGGAAAAGGAAGGAGGATCCTTTAGGAAAAGAAGAGTCTGTGGACATTGCCAAATATTCCCAGGAGACGACATCGGAACTCCCAGTTGAGAACCACTGTTTTAGGGGCAAGGAGATGCCTGGACATCTCCTTCAAAGGGACAAACTATTGCATCTCTTATACCTCTCCCCACTAAGAAGGAAGTACTATATCTTGTAGGTCTCTCTGGGTTCTGGGTGGCATCAAAAACTACTGGCTTTGTACTGTTGCTATTGTTACTATTATTGCCAACTTATCTAGGTTGACTCTGGCACATACCTACAACAGAGCACCTGTCACTCACCCAAGGACCATAGTCTGCTCAACATCCCTTCCTTATCCTGTTTCACAAATCCTACTATTTGGTCCTGACATCCCATCTTCTTCCACCTCCTACCAATTTCTTAGTTCAACTAGAGACAACAGTCAGCCTAAGCTGAATCATTAATGACAATTTTATGTTGTACATGTCATTGAAAATGCAGTAGCAAAAATGATTTGGCAGGTCTCTTTGTATTAGCTAACAGAGGCAAGAAAGTTTGAAAGATTCCTTCATTCAACATTCATTCATTCATTCATTCATTCACTCAACAATGTAGTACTGCCAGGTACCACAGGTACCTCGCCTCATTTCATGACACTATCCCCCCCTTACTCCACTCTAGACACACCAACCATCTTGCTGTTCTTGGAATGCCCCAAACTCACTCCCACCTTGGCACACTTGCACTTGCTATGTCTGGAATACTCTTCCTCGTGAGAATACACATCATCATTCCCTTACTTTATTTAGGTATCCATCCTGCCCTGCCATCCTACCCACTCTCTTTCCTTATTCTGCTTTATTTTCCTTTGGAGCACTTGACAGTAACTGAAATTATACAAACACACACAGACTTTTTTTTTTAAAGATTTTATTGGGGAATTGGGGAAGGGAACAGTGTTGGGGAATTGGGATAGGAGAACATTGTGTTTTTCCGGGACCCATCAACTCCAAGTCAAGTTGTTGTCCTTCAATCTTAGTTGTGGAGAGCGCAAGCTCAGCTCCAAGTTCCGTTACCGCTCTCAATCTAGTTGCGGAGGGGTGCAGCCCACCATCCCATATGGGAGTTGAACTGGCAACCTTGTTAAGAGCATGCGCTCTCACCAGCTGAGCCATCCAGCCCATTGGCAGCTCAGCGGCAGCTCAGCTTGGGCGCAGCGTCACTGGCCCATGTGGGACTCGAACCGATGGCCGTGTTGCTCAGAGCTGGCGCTCTTAACCAACTGAGCCACCTGGCCAGCCCCACAGATTATTTTTTAACTCTCCCTCAAAGTAACAAAGCTCCATGAGGACAGTGTCTTGGTCAACGTGTATTCCCAGCATCTAAAATTATATTTGGTATATGATAAGTCCTCATTATATATTTATTGATTTATTGATAGCTCCTCAGTAAAAGTTTTTTAATGAATGAATGGTGAAGTTTACTTTTGGCATTTGTATCAATCAGAGTTCAACTGGAAAAATAGACCAATAAGTGATATAAAGAGATTTATTACAAGGAATTATTTATTAGGCACTGGCTGAGGAAGTCCAAAATCTGTAGGCAGTTCATCAGTAAGAGCAGGCTGGAACGCTCAGGCACAGGCCGAAGTTACTGTCCAGAGGTGGTATTTCTTCTCCATCAGGGAAGCCCTAGTTTACTCTTAAGGCTTTTCAACTGAAGTAGTCTTACCCACATTGTCTATGACAATCTCCTTTACGTAAAGTCAATTATGTGGCTTTAAAGCACTTCTACAAAAGGCTCCATAGCAACACTTAG